CAGTGTTGGAGCATTCACAACTTCTGGAGACAAGTTGTTCCACTGATTAATTGTTCTCACTGTCAGGAAATATGTCCTTAGTTCTAAGTTGCTTCTCACCTTGATTTGTTTCCCCCCATTGCTTCTTGTCCTGCCTTCAGGTGCTTTGGAGAATAGCTTGACTCCCTCTTCTTTGTGGCAGCCCCTGAGATATTGGAACACTGCTATCATATCTCCCCTAATCCTTGTTTTCATCAGACTAGACATAACCAGTTCCTGCAACCGTTCTTCATATATTTTAGCCTCCAGTCCCCTAATCATCCTGGTTGCTCTTCTCTGCACTCTTTCTAGAGCCTCCACATCTTTTTTACATCATGGCGACCAAAACTGGATGCAGTATTCCAAGTGTGGCCTTACCAAGGCATTATAAAGTGATATTAACACTTCACCTGATCTTGATTTTATTCCTCTGTTTATGCAGCCTAGAACTGTGTTGGCTTTCTTTGTCAGCTACAGCACTGGCTGGCTCATATTTAAGTGATTGTCCTCTAGAACTCCTAGCCAGTATTGTCAGTATGACTGACACTAATGAGTAACAACAATGATGTCAGATCTTTGAAGGTTTCATCTACCTTCTACTTTCAAGTCCTTGGCCTCAAGCAATCACCCAGGTCCCAGACCCAACTCACTTGAGAGAAAGGCAATTTCACTGAAGAGCATCCACTCGGCGGCAAAGTAAAAGTGGCACTGGACAAACAAGCCGATTCGTCCATCCAGTGGTATGGTGACAGAGCGGGCACTGGGGTCCCTGACATCCACCGAAAGCTGTCGGGAGACAGGGACAGGCTCCCAAGCTGTGGCGAGGCTGTGCTTGAAGAGGCAGTCCACCTGCTCGAAGATCCCCACGCCACGTGTGTGCATATTGCTGCAGTGAACCTGGAGATTGAGGTGAAGGAGCAGAAATGGGAACGGGAAGTGGAGGAGAGCAGGATAAGAGAAAAGACAACTCTGAAGCATGCTTATTTCCCTTCCCTGTGTTAATAATCTAGCACAGAGGTCAGCAACCTTAAACGCTCAAAGAGCCACAAAGGTCCTAACCGGAAGAGAAGCCAGAAGTCCGGTTCCCCCACCATAGAGTCTCCTCCTAGCAGGGCGTGTTTTTTTTTCCTCTACCTGTCCTAATTGGAAGCCCTATCAATTGTGGAGCTGACCAGAAAACCCGCCCCTTGCCATAGAGTTTCCTCCTGGCGCGCCGTGCTTTCCACCCGCTACCTGGAAGCTCCTCTCAAAATTGTGGTGCTGACTGGCACCAGGGAGCCCCAGCAGAGGGATGAAAGAGCCGCATGTGACTCCGGAGCTGTGGGTTGCCAACCCCTGTTTCTAGCAGAATGAGACCACACCCAAATGATTGGTAAGAGACCAGTTGTAAACCGAGGGCTATCAGTATTAGGAACGTATCTTTTAATTGGCCAAGCCCATTAATCCTACCGGGTTCTTCATACCAATCGGGGGCCTCTTCAGAAAAATGCTGTTACCTTCATATATGTGAAGGATCTGAGTCGGTCAAACTCAAACTCCATCTTGATGAAACCGTCAGGAAAAGATATTTTGCTCCAGCCCACATAATCGTATCCAGGCCAAACCCGGAACTCTTTGGTTTGGGTGAAGTCATCCAGCCCCACCACTCCATCCGTCAACTGGCCAAGACCCCCAAAATGTAACCTGCATTAGAAAGGATCCCAAACAAAAAGAGGGAAAACAGGATGAGGAAAAGAAAGTCTAGGACCCCTCAAAACTGTTAAGGACAGCTCTAGTTCCATTGCTTTTATGGCCTTCTGTGAAGAGTGGGTTTCTTTAAATTCTACATATGAAATCCCGCTACATAATGAAGTACAGCAGCGACACTTAAATATATGCCTAAGTACCCCTTACAGTAACTGAGCTAAGAATGTCCACACTCTACAATGTATAACAAGTTGGGATCCAGAAATGAACATTCTTGAACAGAGCTTACCTCTTCTGTAATCCATTCCCCCTAGAAATAAGATCAGCATCTTCATTCCTGTTTAGGAACATGGGGTCCTTGGTGCTCTCTGAGCTTGCTTGTTTTCTTGCAGACATTTCATTTACCCAACTGGGTAACACCATCAGTGTTACCTAGTTGGATAATGAACTGTCTGCAAGCAAACAATCCACCTCAGAGTTCACCAAGGACCCCACAGTTCAACTCTGAGCCCCAGATATTCTCTTCTGTTGGTATTAGGAACATGCTGAAAATTTGGTTTAGATAAGTATTTCAGATGCTGAAATAGTAATAACATAGGCACCTGAGATGTAGAGGCTGCCCATTGGAAGTTAGTAAGTCTACTATGATGGACTTGAACTGTGGATATTTATACCTATTTTTGGTTTGTTCCTAAGTGAGTTACTTAGGTTAGCTTTGACCGAAGCAGCATCAAATCACTTACAAAATAAATTTTAAAAATACATCTTCCTTTACACTTTGGGTATGAATGGTAATCCAGATTTCCCCAGCCAAAGATTAAAACTCTCCAAAACCTTAGCTGCTGGAACGTCCAAAATTCTAGAAGCCTGTAGTTACATATGACTGAAGAACACCAGAAGGATCGACCCGACACGATCTTGCTGTCAGCATTCCAACAAACTCCAAACCAATAAACTCCGAGACAAGCATTTCCTCAAAGTTCCATTTTATTAGAGTTGTCATATTGGCACATCTGGGAAAACCCGAATAGGAGTTCCGGGTTTTCCCTTCCCAAAAGAGAAATCAAAGATCCATCCCCTGCACCCACCAGTCCATCACACGGTCCGATCAAAACGTCATGCCTACTGAAGATATTCCTCCAGACACTCCTCCCCAGGTGCAGGGCAACATGTCCTTGACTTTCTGAGAAAGAATGTTGTTGAGTCTAATCTTCCACCTCTCTAAGAAATCCCCCCTCCCAATTTCCCAGGCACTAAATGTGGCAGCCTCGAAGCTTCCAAGTAAAATATGGCTTCCAAGGCTGACACTTGCAAGCCAACAGAGAATGAAAATGTTGAATAACAAATATCCAATTCAATCCTAGGTGCTATGCTTGAAAGCCACTCAGGAGCCTCTTACTCACTCACTTGCTGACACTGGACCCGTCGTACGTGGAGTCGTTAAGGTAGACCAGTTCTGCGGCCAAAGGCATCACCTGACCTAAAGGGGCTGTATAGGATTGAAGGCCATCTGTGGAAGGACACAAGGCATTCAGAGGTAAGTTTCCAGCTTGTTATACCATTAAGGTGCACGTCTCAGATGGGTCCTGTGGAGAGTGGTTTTTCCACGGACTAGAGGGGGTGTGGTTTTGTGTGCTGCCTACATCCTGCAAATGGGGCTTCGCTTGTTTGCGTGGTTGCTGTCATGACACAGACCAGTGCTGGTCCATGGACCGAGGATTGGGGACCCCTGATATAATGTGTTTCAATTGAGTATAACATGTTTAGAGAGACGGATTAATGTGGTACATGATGCGAACCCAGAAAAGTATATTTAAAAAGTCATGACCAGGCAGCAGTGCCTCAGATAGAAAATCCATACAGAGAGTGGTAAGGACAGCCGAGAAGATTTTAGGAAGCTCACTTCCTGTTATTCTGGATAACAGATACTGAGAGCTCAAAGCATTGTTAGAGACCCCACACACCCACTTTACGGTCTGTTTCTGTTGCTCTCCTCTGAGAAGGTTTCAAAATATTTCTAGCAGGACATCCAGATTTTGTAACAGCTTTGTTCCCTATGCCATCCACCTGGTAAACCCACAAGATTCGCTTTTGTTCCATGTTCATGTATACATCCAAGCTAGACTGTGTTGTTTCTCCAAGTCATATAATATATGTGGGTACATGCATAATTTTGTATTTCTTTATTTAGTCACGTTTATATAGTGTATATTGGAGGTGGTGACCCTTTGAGAGCTGTATGCAACAAAATTTCATTTTAATGTATGCTGCTTAGTGTACATTCAAAATGACAATAAAGTTATCATTCTATTCTATTCTATTCTATTCTATTCTATTCTATTCTATCCTATCCTATCCTATCCTATCCTAATTCTATTCTATTTTCTATTCTCTGCACCTAGCCTGAAAAAACTGCTAAAACACACTGTACTTTCAAACAATGCAAACACCGCTTTACTCACCTTTCCAGACACAGCCATAGAGTTCCACTCGCAAGCAGACACTCATGACACGGTCTGAACGGGGGTAGAAACGGATGTACCGGGCAATGATAGGAGGTCCCAGATCCTTCAACACCACCTCATTGGTGTTTTCATTGCCTGAAATCACCTAAGAGAAAAGGAGGAGTGAAGAAGGAAATGAAAGAGGAGTTGAGCAGGGTCTAACAAATCAACCTTGCCTGATCTATTGATTAGAGCAGTGGTTACAGGCAGTCCTCGATTTACGAGCACAATTGAGGCCAAAACTTCCATTTCTAAGCAAGACACTTGTTAAGCGAGCTTGGCCCCAACTTACAACCTTTTCTTGCCACAGTTGTTAAATGAATCATTGCAGTTGTTAAAATTAGTAACACGGTTGTTAACTAAATCTGGCTTCCCCCATTGACTTTTCCTTGTCAGGAAGTTGCAAAAGGCGATTGCATAACGCCAGGACATTGCAACCAGGATAAATATGAGCCAGTTGCCCAGTGTCTGAATTTTGATCATGTGAGCATGGGGATGCTGGATAGTCATAAATGTGAAAAGCAGCCATAAGTCGCTTTTTCCAATGCTGTTATTGTCAACTCATAAAATTATTTCTATGGTCTTTTTAGAGTTGCCAACAGAAAGGGAGGGGGGAGCAGTGAGCAGCTTGCGTTCCATAAATAGTTTTCAAAGATAGCAACTAGGTGACTGAAGTTTCTGCCACGCAAAATTCTAACTGGAGAGCATAATTGATGTCTCTTGGCTATGGATGTGTCCCATTGGAGAATATGAATTATGATACACCCAGGGGGTGCAGGAAAACCAGGGTCAAGGGTGGCAATGAATGAGGTGTCTCAGAGTCAGCTAAACCCAGGCAGTGCCGGACATGTTAACTCCTAATAAATCCTGTTGAAGTTTTGGAAGTTTGGCTCGAGACTCATGATTTAAATGGGGTACTGCCAGAGCCCTGACAGTTATAACTTTGAACAGTCACTAAAGAAACGTCGAAGACTATCTCTACTCAACCTTGGCAACTTTAAGATCTTTGGATTTTAATTCCCAGAATTCCCCAGCCAGCCATACTGCTTGGGGAATTCTGGAAGTTGAAGTCAACACGTCTTAAAGGTGCCAAGGTTGAGAAACAATGGATTAGACAAAATGACCTGTTTCCATGTTATCCCACCGTCAGAGAAGAAGTTACAATTCTCCCTATTTACCTCATTGCCCCACCGGTCACGCCAAGACATCCAGTGATGGCCGTCCCGCTTGTAATGGAGCCGATAAGAGCGAGCAAATTCCTTGCCATGGCCACCTGCGTGGCGTCCCTGCGTCCCCACCAAGGTTAGGAAATGCAGCTGGCGCAGGTCTATCTCCAGGTACTCTGCGTCATTGGGGTAGACGGGTCCTGCAGGGCACCAAGCTCCATCGCCCTCACTCAGGCCCAGCCTGGACAACAAGAAGTGAGATAAGCCCTTTGGACTGCCCGTATCACAGAGCTCATTTTTTATCCTATCTTTATTATTTTTGTAAATACCTCAAAGTAGCAAAGATACAGATGACTTGTTCCTTCTCCTATTTACCTCTCACAACAACCACCTTGTGAGGTGAATTGGGCTGAGAGAGAGTGACTGGCCCAAAGTCACCCAGCCGACTTTCATGCCTGAGGCAGGACTAGAACTCATGTCTCCAGGTTTCTAATCTGGTGCCTTATTTTAGTTCGATCGCAGTTTGACATCAAGATTTTTTTCACATGTCTCAGCCCAGGGCAGATAGCTCCCCATCCTATTATCTCTGCATTTGGGTTTATTTTCCAAAAACCTTCGTTCTGTTTTCAACCTGCTTGTTTGTCCAACATCCATCCATCTATCCATCCACCCATGGCTTCACAATGAAATGCACACCTACACACACGACTTACCCATCTCCGATTTAAAGGAGGGATGCAATTACTGTACACATTAACTCAGGGTTTCTCAACCTTGACAACTTTTAAGTTCAGCTCCCAGAATTATGTAGCATTGGAAGGGGGAAGCCTGGCTGGGGAATTCTGGGAGCTGAAGTCCACACGTCTGAAAGTTGCCAAGGTTGAGACACACTGCACTAACCTAAGGAATGGGGAGATGTTTTTAAAGCGGGTAGGGCAGACTTCTTCTTTAATACATCCAGTTCATTTTGAATTTTGTTTTGGGTTTTTTAAAGTGTTTGCCATGAGCCTCTGGGGAATACTGGCTCACGCATCATGACATTATTACACAAATGGTATTCCTGCTTGGCCTGGATATCTTAAAAGAATCTGAACTGCTTGAAGGACTATCTTTTCCCAGTTACATCTACCTGACCCACCAGAGTGGGGAGGCAGGGTATGATGTAGACCAGTGGTCACCAACTGGTGGGCTGTAGCCCACTGGTGGGCCGTGAGAAAATTTTGATGGTCCGCAGAGAAATGTCACCCCCAGAGCAATTAATCCAGGCTGCGCAGGAACACAAGCCTGCGCCGCCCCCATGGCCCATGGGAACCTTCCCCGCCCACTCACTCCTTACCTGGCAAACTTGCCTGCCAAGTTGTTATTTTTCCTTTTTTTTCCCCCAACCATCAGCTGTTCTGCTGTGCCGGGAGATTTAGATTAGCTAGAAAGCAGGAAATTGTTGGATTTCTTGCTTTCTAGCTAATTTTTACATCTTCGGCTCTGCTTAACCTTCCTTAGGACTAAAGCTTCTATTATTCAGTGCTGACTCAGGTAGCCAATGGCAGAAAGATAGATCTCTGAATGAATCTGTGATTCTGTGAGCAACTCAATCTGCCTGCCTGCTTTGCCTGATTTTGGGTAAAAGTTGCTCTTTTTAAAAATAAAAAATTCAATATTTACATACATCTAGCAAATTTTATGAGTTTGCTTACTAGCAAATTTTATGTGACAGACTCAGGTAGCCGATGGCAGAAAGATAGATCTCTGAGTGAATAGATACTTCTGTAAGCAACTCAGTTTGCCTGCCTGCTTTGCCTGCTTTTGGGTAAAAGTTGCTCTTTTTTTTATAAAAAAATTGAATATTTACATAAATATTTATAATATTTACATACAAGCCATGCCCAGCCAGTCACATGACCACCAAGCCACAACACCCACAAATTAGGCCACGCCCACAGAACTGGTTGTTAAGAAATTTGAATCCCACCCCTGCCTCTGTGTGTTTGTTTGTGTGTGTGAGAGAGAGAGGGAGGGAGGGAGGGAGGGAGAGAGGCTAGATCAGATCTCCCTCTCTCTTTCTCTCTCTCTCTCTCTCCCCCTCTCACCAACGTCAGCAAGCCACCGTCAGTCAAAATTCATATTAGTGGTCCCCGGGATTTAAAATTATGAGTTTGGTGGTCCCTGAGGTCCAAAAGTTTGGCGACTCCTGATCTAAAGTGCAACGAGAATGAAGAAAATGCTAGATACACTGGGGCTTCCCTTCTTTCTGAGAACAATTTCAGTAGAATAAGTGTCTATAAGAGATTCTCAATCATCCAGGTCATGGTGAAAGACATTTTCCCAAAAGGCAAGTGGACTTTCTGGTTTTCTTTTCCTTGAAAATGTTTCACTTCTCGTCCAAGAAGCTTCTTCAGTTCTTCTTCAGAACTGAAAAGCTTCTTGGATGAGAAGCAAAACGTTTTCAAGTTAAAAAATAAATAAATCAAGAAAGTTCGCTTGCTTTTTGGAGAAGCATCTTTGGTATTTGGTAGAAGAAATGTTTTTCAGAGGTTGGAAATAAAAAGTCTACCTTAACAACCTTCACTATTTCTCAACAACCTTGCTGTATGTAGGCTCAACGCCGCATCTCTGATGATGACCTCACTGTCCACCTCTCTGCACCGAACGACACGATTGTCATCAACAACACAATGAGCTCCAACAGGCACTCCAACCGATACGAACGCATCCTTTCGGGTGAAACGGAATACCAGGAACCCAACAGGGCACGCATGAAACTCCCAGATCTTCCTCACAGTGCTGAGAACTCTGGTGAGAGGCTGTTGGTAAAATTGTTTTATTTATAACTAGCTCTATACTCGTGCTTTGCTACGAAACTATGTGGTCGGGCTTAGATTTTGGGGAGGAAAATAAGGGTAAAAATTCTGCCTCTGCCTACCAGCATCCATCAGTATTCATCTGACTAGTGTCCTATCAGTGTGTGAAAGAGCTGAGGGCTGTTTGGAAACTGAAACGGTATTTGCTGGGTGAGCAAGAAGGAGACAGCAAAGAGCCTGGGCGTGGCTTAGCTCAACTGTTCTGTACTAAAGCTGATTGCTGCTGTGAAACTAAAACCAAAACTCCTCTGCTTGTGTTTTGCATTTGAAAGAGATTTCTTTCCAGGTGGGGAGTGGGCAGTAGAACTCCTTAGCATCAGAGCGTGTTAATAATAATATAGGAAATACTAATGCTCTGATGGTCATTTCAAAAAATCCTTTCTTAGTGAGCATCTAGAAGCCAAGAGGAACATATGTGCCAAATTCCAAGTTTTACGGTTCTGGAGATTTTGTGATGATGCATGAGTGTTATTTCGCTTTTATAGAGAGAGATTATTTTGTTTAAAGTGGAGTATTGCAGGCACATTCTGCCCACAGCCTGGAGTTTGAGTCTGACAGGGCTCAAGGGTTGGCTCAGCTTTCCATCCTTGCAAGGTTGGTAAAATGAGGTTGTTGGGCGCAAGATCCAAATAATGCTTCTACATTGTAAATTGCCCAGAGAGTGTTGTAAGGCACTGTGCAATGGGTTGTATAAGCCTAAATGCTATTGCTGTTTTGTTTATTAAATTATTGGGAAAAGTGAGTGAAAACAAAGGGACCAGAAAGTGAAGCAGCCAAGGTGATAGGGAGGAAGAAGAGAAATCCTTTGAATATTTGTTAGGAATGCCATGGTTTATTATTTATATAGGTGTGAATTTAGTTAGCATTATAGTGTATCCATTCTGACCCACCGTGGCTTTTGAGAAAAAAGCCAGCAATGAAAACATAATGTAATGTTACCCTAATATAACACTGTAAAACAATAAAATGTCCATGGTAAACAGTATGAACCAAATAAAATGTATGTGGAGATGATGCAACAGTCATAAGTGTGAAAAACGCTGATCAGACGCTTTTCCCCCCGATGCTGTTGTAACTTTGAGCAGTCACTAAACAAATCATTGTAAATGGAGGACTACCCATATATCCCTTTTAATTAAGACTTAGTTGGTTTCTTTTGTATCTCCAATAGAACAGCTTTTTCACACCATTTTTGTAGCCTGACGTTTTTTAAATCCACTTTCAGATCAATCTCAATCTAGTCAGGTAAAACGTGTTCTTCTTTCATGACATTTTTTAAGCACAGCCTATTCTAAACGTTGTTTCTCCTTTAATTGTAATATTTAATTCCTTTTGGTTTCCTCTAGTGTTCCAACTTCAAAGTTTCATTTTATCAAGTTTTTTTTAAAAAAAGAGAATTCAAAACAAACCCAATCAACCAACCAATCAACGCATTTATCACGACAAGGATTCTTATAATTAATTCCAAAATCTTATTTCAAATCCATCTAAACCATTAATAGGTTTGTAATTTCCCAAAATCAAAGTTCTCGTCACCTTTTTGGTATTTATGTCAAAAGAATTTTAAAAAAAAGATCTTAAACTTCTATTAAACATAAACTTCTCTCGTTAATAAGCATTGAAGGACACTTGCCCAGTGTTGTAAAACATGTAGATTCAAAGGTTACTGTACTTAATAGGTGAAAAGCAGTTCACGTTTTCCAAAATTGATTAGAAAAGAAGTATTCAAATCCAGTGTTCTTTTGATGGTGTTGAGGATGATTTAAACAAGATGGCTATTTCCTCATTTCCCAGAGTGCTAAACCTATGGAAACCGCCATCTTGTGGTCTCCATGCAAGGAGCAGTTGCAAAGAGTTCTTATGGGTGATCTCAAGTCCTCTCCTTGTGTGGAGAGAAATTACAAAGAGCTGATCAGCTCCACTTTTAATGGAGCCATCTTCAGTTCACCATTTCTTCCCTCAAAATCCCTATTGTTGTGCATTTAGTGTGTGTGTTCTGTGTGTTTGTATTTCCTTGCTTGTATCAAAAATATCAAAAGTAGGCTTTTGCTATAAACTGCAATCTGTGAATTGCGAAAGGAAAAAAAAAAAGGAAGCAGTCCGTTAATTGGGATGTTTTGTTGGTGGCTGGTTTCATTTAAAAAGGTGGTTTAAATTTCTAGCAAAATCGAGTTATAACCTGCTCCTAAATTATGCTGATTTATGGCCTGTTTTTTTCAATACTTTTTGTTTTTAATGTAAAAGAAACTGCAAATGGAGAACTAGCACTCCAGAAAGCTTGATTTCTTCCTGATGTGCTTAGTTTCTAAATGCAAGGAGGTATCTTTTTGTATCTTTTTTTCTTGAAAGAAAACAGTAACACAATGCCACCTATTGTCTGAAATGGAAAAATATCTCAGGAAAGTTTAAAAAAAAAAATTCTTTGAAGCAAGTAAGTTTGCTTAAATTTGAATAGGGAAAGCAGGTAAGGGAAAGTAAAAGAGAAAATTAAGAATGACAGGTAATCTTCGACTTACAACTATTCGTTTAGTAACTCCTCATTACGACGATGTTGGAAAAAGTGCTTGCATTTAAGGTTGGTTTTTGCATTTATGACCGTCGCGTTACTCTCATGGTGACACAATTATAACACAAGTGCTTGGCAACTGGCTCCCTTTTACAACCGACTGCAGAGTCCTGTGATCACGTGATTGCAATTCTTGGATTAATTGGCCCACAGTGTAATACATGTATTTATTTAATGACCGTTGTAAAAATGGTTGTAAAATCAGGTCCTACTTGACTTATGACTGCAGCAATTTAGGGAAATTCCAGTCCCAATAGCGGTCAAGGACTACCTGTAGAAGATCAAACCCTGACACATTTCATTAAAAAGTTGTTGGTTTGGTTTTTTTTGCTCCATTTCATATTGTATTTCCCAGCCCAAAACATGAGGGATGGCCTTTAAATATTTTAGCAACAGGTTGCTGGGTGGGCGTGTCCATGGTGGGCGTGTCCATGGTGGGTGTGGCCTAGTCGGCCTCCTGCACCACGGCGAGGGGCATTTTTGCCTTCCCTGGGCTCCAGAGGCTTTCCTCAAGGCTCCGCGACGGCAAAAACAGTCTCCCCGGGCTCCGGAGGCTCTCTGGAAGCCGGAAATGGGCCCACTTCCGGCCTTCCCGAACTTCCGTGAGGCCTGTTTTTCTCCCTCCCTGAGCCTCTGTGCGCGCCTTACACTTGCATCCAAAACGGGTCATGTGGGGACTCCTGGGAGGGGAGGGATGGAGTCGGTGGGGCCTGCCAGGAGTGGAATTTGGGGGTTCTCCAAACTGCACAGAATCTTTGCTAGGGGCTCTCCTGAACCCCTGCGAACCCCCAGCAGTTCGCCCTTCTCCGATTTGGTAGTTATTCTCATGATTTAGGTAGATGGTGATATGATCCACCTCGTAGATCCTAAAGCTTGTGGGTCCTACTCTTTCATGCTACTGAAGATTTCACTTGATGCTTTATATGAGGAAGAGAGCATGGATGAATCCAGCAGATAATTTCTCCAAAATAGTTCTCCTTAGCCTCATGCAGGTTATTCTATTTCTTGTGAGGGAACTTTCAGTCATTTCTTTCTGGAATCTAGAGCCTGACAAGTAACGGTTGCAGTATTTCACATGATATGAAGAAGGTGTTAATTCGTTCTCCTGGAAGTCCATGAGTCATTTTATGGTTTGGAAGATGGAGGAAGAGTGGGGAAGGAAGTGCAACAGGAATGTAAGTTCTGGGATAGGTTTCCTCAGCTTGGCGGCCTCGAAATGTTTTTGACCGGAATGTCCATTATCCTGAGGTGGAGCAATGGGGATTGGTAGCTTGATATATCGGGACAGAGTCAGATTGAGGAAGGCCAGCCTTGATTGATTCCTTTGAAGAAGACAGAAGCAGTGTGATGGGGTGTGCAGCTAGAGAAGGAGTGGTGGAATCGCAGCAATCACACAATAGTTTCCCATGGAGGTGGTGACCCATTCCAGAAAGAGACCTAAAATAAAAGACTCCTCAAACCTGGAACTGGATAGGGCAGTGTTGTTGAACCTTTTCGGCACTGAGTGCCAAAATGGAAGTGCGCGCATGCGCGGGAGCAGCACCAGAAACTGGAAAAGCAGCTCCCGGCGTGTATGTGCGCACCAGAAAGCTGAGCTTCTCATTTCTGGCATGAGTATGCTTACCGGCCACCTGGTTTTTCAGTTTCTGGCACTCATGCGCATGCAAAGACCATTTGGCCAGCATGCATTTAGACTTATATACCAGAAGGGCAACGGGCAATGCCCGGAGAGATGGCACTGCGTGCCACTTCCATCATGTATGCTGTAGGTTCGCCATTACGGGGATAGGGGAAGGAGGAAAAAGTTCAGGGTTACCAAACCGCATAGAACAGGGTGTTCAACTTTGGCAACTTTGGCAACTTGTGGACTGGCTGAGGAATTCTGGGAGTTGAAGTCCACAAGTCTTAAAGTCGCTAAGGTTGGACACCTCTGCCCTATAATCTCCCAGATCTAGGTTAGAAAGTAACATATAATCCTTGGCTTATGACCACAGTTAGGGCCAGAACTTCTTTTGCTAAGCAAGAAGGTTGTTAAGATAGTTGTGCCCAATTTTACGAGCCTTTTTTGCCACTGCTATTAAGCAACGGTGGCAAAAAAAAGATCGTGAAATCGGGCACAACTACCAACACTTGCTAAATGCATTTGTTAAATGAATCACGCAGATCTTTTTTTTTTTAATTTTTATTGGTTTTTAAGACAAACATAGACAAACAAAACATAAAAACATCAAGCCATCTTCCATATATATACATACAGTGTGTCGGTTGGTTTACAAATTGTTTTGTGCTTCCATTTCGTAGTCTTCAATTACAATTACATTGTATATATTCTCATATTTTCAATTAAATATTAAGTACATTAATATCATTGTTAATCAATTATTTGACTATACTTTTATTCATTCATGTTTTACGAAGTAATCCATATTTTACTTCATTTGTTTTATGACAGTTCATATTATCATCTCAAATCTATCCTACAATCGTTTTGTAGATATAATAAGAAAAGAATACATCTTTATATATTTATTATTTTCTAAGAATCTACATATTTCATTACCATGTTTTATTGTCTAACCATTGATAGAATAGATCCCAAATTTTATAAAATTGTTTATCATCTTGTTCTCTGATTTCAAATGTCAATCTACTCATTTCAGCACATTCCAATATTTTCTTAACGATTTCCTCCTGTGATGGTATTTTCTCATTTTTCCAGTTTTTGGCAAATACAATCACGCAGTTCTTAAGTGAATCTGGCTACCCCTATTGAGTTTGCTTGTCAAAGCCAGCTTGGGAAGTCACAAATAGCAATCACATGATTACTGTAACTGTCATGAATACATGCTGGCTGCCCATGGGTATGCTGCAACAGTCATAAGTGTGAGGACCAGTTGTAAGTCACTTTTTTTTCAGTGCCGCTGTAACTGTGAGTGGTTATTAAGTTGAGGACTCCCGGTAAAGCTTTAGTCCGGCAAGATTCTGTCTGTTGGGCATAAGCAGATAAAGAACTGGACTCGATTGGCCGCCACTGGTCGTCTTTGGGCTTAGGCCTACCGTCAGGTGAGGCCGTCTGGAGATGTCAGGATGTTGGGTCGCTTCCTTCTGTCCAGCAATACTAATGATGGCTGGTTCCCATCATTAAACCCCATGCCATTTGGTGTCTGCGTCTCTTGCTACCCTGTTTGGGATGTGAAGCTTAAAAGAGGGGCAGGAATCCCTAAAGTGCTGCCTGTTCTCTGTGTCACGCCTTACCTTTCGTATCCATCTCTCCATCCGTCTATCCGTTCCTCATCCGTCCGTTTGTCCTCTCCCCCCTCTCCCTACCCCCCCTCCCCCTTCTCCCGACAGCTCTGCTGCTCAGCAACCCGGCTTACCATCTCCTCCTGGCCACCTATGCCCAGCCAATGGGAAGGCCTGCTTTCCCGCCACCCAGCCAGGTTAAGCCAATCAACACCAATGGTAAGGAGGGCGCTGAGCTTGTGCGGTGCGGCTGGGAACCCCCGGGTGACCTGACTCCCTGCTCAGAACATCCTGCCTTCTGCAGTTCCTCTCCCACCTGCCAGGGGGTGCTGTCTGTCTGTCTGTCTCCCTCTCTCTCTCTCTCTCTCTTCGCCATGTCTGTCCCTTGTTCAACTCCCTCTTGTTGGCCCTGTGCATGGCTAATATCACTTTCTGCTTTGCAGGTTCTGCAGCTTCTGGAGCAGGGGAGGGAGAATGGGGTTGGAACAGGATGTTATAGCTGGACTCGTTGTGTCCAAAGCAGAGCTCCGGCTGGCTCTGATGGCTGCTGGGTGCCTACGAGTTGAAGGGGTTGGGCAAGTCCTCCATGTTCCTTTCCCCACCTCTGAAGGTGATTCTTCTTTTGTCTTTCTACTTCTGCAGCATGTGGGATTGACTACATGCAACCAGAACTAGCCGCCAGCCAGCCAAGTTTCCAGAACAACGTGCCACATTACGCCGAAGCCGACATCATCAACCTGCAGGGAGTGACTGGCGGGAACACATATGCTGTCCCTGCTGTTGCGGTGGATGCCCTCACCGGCAAGGACATGGCACTAGGCGAATTTCCCCGGGAACGGCTGATCTTCAAGGAGAAGCTGGGCGAAGGGCAGTTTGGAGAGGTAAGTCCAGTTCAGCGTGCGGTAGAGGTTGGACGATGCAAGTGGGAAAGTAAGACCCACATTTCCAGTGAGTCGTAAAGTAGTAAGAGGCATGATGGCAGATGCCACCAATGCTTCAGATTTAATTGTGGCATCCCCTAACCTTCAGTTTGGAGTTCTAATTCCAGGCACAAATGGCCAGGCTCAAATTATTAAATTTTGGACACATTGCGTGAAGAAAGCTCATCTGTATAAGTTTGAAAGGTTGGGAAAGATGGAAGGTAGAGGAAAAAGAGGACAACCAGTGGCGATGGGTGCCCTGTTGGAAGACTTGAAGGGTCAGGCTGGAGCCAGAACTTTCTGGATCTATATGTTTCCTAGTATGATTTGATTGCTTATTGTACCCTATGACTATCATGAAGTGTTGTACCTTATGATTCTCGACTCTTGACGAATGTATCTTTTCTTGTATGTACACTGAGAGCATTTGCACCAAGACAAATTCCTTGTGTGTCCAATCACACTTGACCAGTAAATAGTTCTCTTCTCTTCTCTTCTCTTCTCTTCTCTTCTCTTCTCTTCTCTTCTCTTCTCTTCTCCTCTCCTCTCCTCTCCTCTCCTCTCCTCTCCTCTCCTCTCCACTCCACTCCACTCCACTCCACTCCACTCTATGGTCATGAAGTGTCAACACTGATTTCATGGCACATAATCAGACAATCAAACTTTCCAAATCAGTTTAATGTAGAGGGTTTAGGTGTTGGATTAGAAGCCAGGATACTAGGCAAGTTCTAATCATGCCTTAGGCACAAAACCAAGCTTGGTGACTTTTGATTCAGTCATCTCTTCAAACCTAGAAAGAAAACATTGCAAAGCTATTTCCAAAAATATCAAGAAAACTTCATGGACTTGTTCCCGTAGAGTAGGGATCTCCAAACTCCTAACTCATCGACCACTTCATGAAGTTCAGATTGTTCATCAACTTCCAAATGTTTGTTATACGTAAATAATAAATGCTTCTTTAAAAGTACTACAAATAATAATAATAATAGCAATAATAGAGTCAATCAAGGTCACTTGCATTGGTGGCTGACCACTCAGCCTTGTCTTGCCACTAACCACCTCACCTTCAGGACTAGAGACTACAGAGACCCAAAATATCATCATCTTTTAATGACCCCATAATCCCTTGCGGGGTGGAGTCTGGGCAACTGAATGGAGCTAGCAGAGTATTTAATGGCCGGATGTCCTTCCTGTTGCCAGTGTGGAGTTTTGTTCAGCAGATATATTCTCAGTGTGCCCACAAAGAGAAATATCTGCCTCTGTCTAGGATTGAATTCATAGCCTCCTGATTGTGAGGCGAGAATTCCACCTCTAGGCCACTGCACCACTCCAAAGACCCCAAAAGATGAAATTGACCCTAATCAACCTTCCTTCATTTATCGACCATATTGACCCCCCCCCCCAGACATTTAGAAACTTCTCGAACAGCCCCCTGGACCTTTAGGGGGTCAGTACTGACCATTTTGAGAAACCCTATTGTAGACATAAGCAGCCAAGATTGACTCGAAGAATCATAATGGCAATCACATATCTGAGAGGAAAATTTAAAGCCCGGGAGAGAAACTTAAGAAAGTATCCGTGCAAATGTATAGGATGGGAGATACGTGGTTTAGATGTGTGTGAAAAGGATCTTGGAATTATAGCTGAACAAATAAAGAGTCAATGCAATGGCCAGGATGGAAAATAAAACTCTTTTAGACTGCCTCCATTGAAGTATGGTTTAAAACGGGTCCCTAAACTTGACAACTTTAAGACTTGTGGACTTCAACTCCCAGAATTCTCCAGCCAGCTATGCTGCCTGCAGAATTTTGGGAGTTGAAGTCTTAAAAGTTGCCAAGTTTGGAGACCTCTGGTTTAAAATCACAGGAAGCAATAGATAAACTTGATTTACATGGTTTATGCCATATTATATTGCTTCTGTCCTGGTTGCCTGTCAGGCCCAAAATCATGAATGACGTGGTGATTCTTCTGAGCGGAGTTCTTTATTGTTCATATCTATAGACAAAATCTTGCCAAACTAAAGACTCTTGCTATCTGCATCTATACTCTATTGTGAGCTGTTAAGGAGAGGCTGTCTTCACCCTCTTTCTCTCACACATAATATCTGGGATGAGTGGCCTCTTACTTCTCTGGAATGCACTCCCTCCTTCCTGGGAATCTGCTCCTTACAGGTGGTCCTCGACATACAACAGTTCATTTAGTGACCATTTGAAGTTACAGCGGCACTGAAAAAAGTGACTTATGATCATTTTTCACACTTACAACCACACTTAACGTCACATGATTTACATTCGGATGCTTGAAAACTGGTTCATATTTATGACGGTTGCCGTGTCCTAGGGTCACTTGGCATCTTCCAGTTGCCAAGGTTGAGAGAAATAAGTCTGTAGAGATTCTCAGTTGTCCATGACGTGGTTGTCCCAAAGGTACTTTTTTTCAGGAGGCAACTGGACTTTCTTGTTTTTTCTTTGAAGACACTTCGCTTCTCATCCAAGAAGCTTCTTCAGTTCTAACCGGATGGTGGGGGATGGAAAGATTTATATTCCTTGCAGACAGCTGGTCATCTGCATCCTTCTAGAGCAATGGTGGCTAACCTTTTGGGGCTCTTGTGCCAAAAATTGTGTGCGCGCTGCCTCCCAGAGACTTGAGAAAAGCCTCTGCAGCCTGAAAAATAGGCCCATTTTGTCACTTCTGAACAAAATGGACAATACAGGAAGTGATGAGACAATACAGGAAGTGATGAGCCTCAAGCCTCTGAGAGGCCGAAAAAGGCCTCAAACAGGTGGAAAAATCAGGTGGGAGGCGCACACATGCACAGTGAGGTAGGTTTTGCCTGAGGCTCGTGTGTCGGCACAAATAGCTCTGAGTGCCACCTGTGGCCTGCGTGCCATAGGTTTGCCATCACGGTTCTAGAGGGTCTTTGAGGCCACTTGGTGGCTTATCTGTGTCCTCAGGGTCACCTGAGTGGTGTTCCTGGTTCCTGTAATCTGCATTTTTTCCCCTCTGGAAATCCATTCCTACTCCCACACCAGTCAAAGGGTGTTCATCCCAAATTGTATAGCTAAACGTCTTGTAGAGATTCTCAGTCATCCAGGTCATGCTTTACTGCAGGGGTCTCCAACCTTGGCCACTTTAAGACTTGTGGACTTCAACTCCCAGAATTCCTCAGCC